TTTGGGAAGCCGCCAGTTTGTCCAAAAAACAAATGTTTACTACTTCTTCCATCATTACCTGTATTCATTTATAGCTCCGGACTACTTTATCTTCGAAAGTCCTCCTGGCGCAAGGGTTTCTTCATAACCAGGGACAGTATTTGATAAAAAGTATCGAAGATGAAATAAATTTTAAGTAATCCTGAAATTTCAGAAATTGTATAGTGGCTGGTAATGAATCCCGAAATATATTTGAATAAATCCCGAAATCTTGGGACTTTTAGAGCAGCAACTAATGAGTACCGAAATATAGTAATCCCGAAAATTCGAAACCTGTATAGCTGTTAATGAGCCGAAAATATAGTTTTAAAAATCCCGAAATTTCGGGACTTGTATAGTAACTGGTAATGAATCCCGAAATATGTTCTTAATAATTCCGAAATTTCGGGACTTGTGTAGCAGCTGGTAATGAACTCCGAAATAATTTCAAGTAATCCCGACATTTCGGGACTTGTATAGTAGCTGGTAATGAGTCTCGATACATATTTTAAGTAATACCGAAATTTCGGAACTAGGATCAAGAAGATCACAGGGTTTTTTGAATGTTAAGCAATCTATCAATCGTATTTTTCATAAAATATAAAAGAGTTTTATGAACTCTCTTCCACACTTTTTTAAGACTTTCGCTAATATGGCATCACAGAAAAAATTAGTTATAATAAATAATTCGTGTTAATAAAAAATGTGAAGAAAGATTAGCTTGAACAATAATTTTCTTTCTATTTCCAGCACTTTTACTTTTCATTACAATGTCTAGAATACCTTTGGTACTAACTAAATTTCATATTTGCAACTATATCTTTGATTTACAATCATTAAATGTATGTATGTCTACATTCCGATAACACTTCAGCAAACTATTCAATTAACCCAATACTCCCATTTATCTATAGTCATTTTATGACATTATTATTGCAACTTGCCCACTACTTCTATTTTCGTTACTAAGCTTATAGTAGCGTATTCATGTCAACTTCTATACCACGGCTGTAAATACGCATACCCATATTATGCACGTGTATCTCTGGTATTCCCATGTTTTACCATTTTAATACCCAAAATAAGCGCCGTTTAAGTTTTCACTTAATAAATTTCGAGGCAATCAAAGCAATAAAAAACGTAAAATATCAACAATGCCTTATCGTAAAAGCGCATACATATAAATTGATGGGTTTACAAAATTTATGGGAACAATAAAAACAACAATTTTGTTGTGAACTTTATTTGCATGCGCGAATAAATCACGAAAGCAAAATGTGAAATAAAATAAACAATAAATAAAATCACTAGTATTTAAATACATCTAAGCATTAGCGTTGTTTCATTGATGCGTTGAGCGATGCGCTGGGCAGAGAGGCGTATTTCCGGCTATTTGTTTTTGTTTTTCTATTGTATTATTTGTTGTTGATTTTGTCTAATTTTTTGTGTCATTTTACGTGCTTACAACTGTATTGAACTTTAGTTTTGTGCTAGTTTTTTCCGGGATACTTTTTTGTTTCACAATCGTCATATGTTTCTGTGTTGTTGCTTTGTTATTCTAACTAATTTTTTAACATGTTTTACGTTTTAATGTTATTATTGTAGGTGTTTCGAAGTTTTCGATAATTTAAAATTTCTTGTAGTAAATATGGTCTTAAATTTCGGGATTGTTAACTTTAATTTTATTTATTATTACTTTTTTTATTTGCAAGGGAATTACTGGAAACGAAACATTTCAGATAATGAATCCCGAAAAATATTTTAAGTAATCGCGAAATTTTGGGACTTTTATAGCATCGGATAATGATTCTCGAAAAATATTTTAGGTAATCCCGACCTTTCGGGATTTGTATAGCACATATCCTATAAAGGAGCCTGAAATATATTTGAAAAAATAATTTTGAAATTTCGATATTTAATCCCGAAACATATATTAAGTAATCGCGATATTTGGAACTTGTGGAGTACTTGACAATGAATCCCGAAATATATTTTCGGTAATCCCGAAATTTCGGGACTTTCATAGTATCTGATAATGAATCCCGAAATATATATCAAGAAATTCTGATTTTTGGGATTTCTATATTTAGTTAATCCCGAAATGTCGGGACGATGATACATTAAAATAATACACTTTAAAACCAGTAAATGTAGAATTTTATGTATAATCTCTTACAAATCTCCGTTATAAAACAAAATTCCATTCAAATGTTTGTGTAATATTATAATATATTTTTTAGATTATTTCTAAAATTTATTATTTTTATTTATTAGGAAAATTTAATTATAGACTTTCTCAAATAAGGATTTTTCGTAAAATATATAACCCAAGAGCTATTTATTCATTTTTTTTTATTAGACAGTCTTAGTTTTTGTTTATCTATCGCATGATAGACTGCTTGAATCACTCTACAATTTTATTTTATTCTCAGTTTTTTCATTAGACAATTTCAAGCTTTTGATTAGGAAAAAAGTTGCATGATAGAAAATTAATAAATTTTTTAAACTCAAAAATTTCATTCACTTCAACTTTTTCAATAGATCTGAAATTTTTCATTAAATAGGTTTTAGTATAATATTTAACCCAAAAGTTAATTATTCAGCTTTTCATTATATGGTGTTAATTTTTAGTAAAAAAAAAATTTCGTTATTTTTTTTATGTATTTTAATTATTCTCCTTACTTACTATATTTATTTTTAGAGTAAGAATTTATTCAATTTATTTTTACTATTTTCTTTATTTTTTCATCATAATTACGCGTATATATTTGTGTGATGCAAGTTTTTGCCATACCGAGCGTATTTTTCTATATTTTCATCATATCATTTTGGAATTTAAAGTTTTTCATTTATTTTTTCATGCATACCATTACCATATACATACATACATATGTAAAATACAACTCATATAGCTCTGCCTTTGCAGCCATCCATATCTACTGCCATCACCAGTCATTCGCTTGTCTTTGCTGCGTGTTTTTTGTTTTATGGCGTTTGTTGCTATTGAAGTCTTTTGTTTTGCCATTATTCGCTTTTCTCACAGTTATGAGCAATCCTATAACCATATAAAAAATGAATGCAACACATTTTGGCCAAACAAGCTGTCACATATTTCAGTTTATATTATTTTTTCTCTATTTTTTGTTTTATACAAATTTTTACTTTTATTTTGTTGCATTCGGTACACCCACATGTGGCAGCCGTAAACAATATATWTTAAATTGCCTCTATATGGGCTCTGTGACTCACCAAAAAGTGTCAAATGTGCGCTGCAGTGCATATTTCTTATAGGAAATTTTTGGTTTGTGGAATTATGAATGAAAAAAGAAATACAAAATGTGTAGAAATAAATATTTAAGAATTGAAAAATGTAGAGAAATAAATATATAGTATAAAGAACAAAAAAAAAAAAAACTCATAGAAATATTCATTTTGATTAAAATTATGAAGTTTTCCTTGACGAAGAACTCCTAAAACTACCTCAGAATGTGTTTGACTGTTGCACCAAAAAGTATGTCACTAAAAACATACCCAAACAGCTAATTGGGACTACACTTGTTGATCTATTTCCAGTTTCCAGACGTTTTTGCAGAAATAACAGAGAAACTTCAAATTTAAAGCGAAATTTTGTTATCATTCGAAAGAATTTATTTTTTGCAGATTATCTCATCATCTCTGTCAATTTTGGCTATGTCTCAGATGGTCCATCCGTTGTGTCCAATTTTGGATGACTCGTTCGAACATTTCGACTGGTAACTGACGAATGACACGCGTGATGTTTTGCTTCTGAATCAAAGCGGCAATGTCCGCATAGACTTTAGTCTTTACAGTACATACCCACACAGGAAAGAGTCTAACGGTGTGATATCACACGATCTTGCTAACCAATCGACCGACCCAAAACGTGAAGTTATCTACTCTCCAAAGTTATCTCTCAATAAACACATGGATTGCTGCGATGTGTGGGAAGTGGCGTTATCTTGTTGCAACCAAATGTCGCCAAGATCACAAGCTTCAATTTCAGGCATCAAGTAGTCGGTTATCAAGGCGCAAAACGGTCGCCATTGACGGTTACGTTCTCACCCGCATTATTTTTGAAGAAATCTGGGCCGATGATTGCACCACCCGCACCAAACCGTTGTTTTTTCTGAATGAAATGACAGCTCTTGAAGCTCTTCAGATTGCTCTTCGTCCCAAATGCGGTAATTTTGCTTGTTTACATACCCATTGAGCCAGAAATGGGATTCATTAAACATCGGATCTTCTTGGAAAGTTTCAAGAGCGAAGCAATGTCGCTTGGGGAGGTTGAGAGGCACAAGCTATATTTTGTATGCTTCAACTTAAGATCTCGACGTAAAATGTGCGAAATCGGTCCATACGTCAATCCGAGTTGCTGATCTGTATAGTTCTATTCATATAGATCTAGCCTTCTGTTTTTATGACTACCCAAAGATGATGTCTTGTCAAAGTGGTTGAGTTCTTTTTAATATCAATTATGGTTCTAATGCATTGCCACCAGAAATGACCTTTTCCAATACGAAATTTTTTTTTTAAATACGAAAGTAGAATCTACCAAAAAGTCAGTGACCTCTGTAATAAATATAAATACAACTTCGTTGCATACTTTCGAATAATTGCTCAAACGAACTTGAAATATGTGTGGAGGTAATGAAAACGACAGAATTTTTTATTAACACTTTGGCTTTTCTACGCAACGGAAGTCACATACTCAAGCCATTATTATGGGCAGCAACAGTTACGCTGCGCAACAGACATAGGCATAGGCATTTCAGCGATTGCCTTATTTTACAAAGTATTTTTATGACCGCACCTAATTAACTTACCAAGCCACGTGCACAGCAAAATAACTACAAACACACAGAATATTGATTAGTTCTTAATTAAATACTTTATTACCACTACATATTTCTAACCATTTACTAATATGCGTCCGCTTTCCGTTCCACCACTTTCATTTGCAGGAGCCTGATTCTTGGGTTGCCGTACACCATCTACAAACACAGTCGGGCATACTCGACCCCGACGATTGTGTCGGCGATGTGGCCGATGATCGCGAACAAATACTTGCCAGTTTCGATGACTCTGGTCCGGATCCGGGTGTGCCGCAAGGTGGCGGCGATGGTGCCTCAGGCAGCTCTTCGGTGGGCACCGGCTCGCCCGATATCTTTCGTGACCCCACTAACACAGATGCACCCACAAATGGGCAACGCGGCGATACTGCCACGCCGCACATTGAAGTCACCAGCACTACTGCCTGCCCCATGACTGGACTGGGTTTGCAAGTGCGTCGCAGCAGTGATCCGAATTTGCTCGCCTCGCTGAAGGCGGAGGGTGGCAATAAACGCTGGTCAGCAGCAGCGCCACACTGCGGCGGCGATTCACCCGATCGTGTGCTGCTCGATAAAAGCGGCTATTTAACGCCACAGTGGGAGGAGGAAGACGATGGACAACAGCATGCGACAGCCGCACCGACGCAACAACCGTTCGCACGCTCCGGTCGCTTGTCCATGCAGTTTCTTGGCGATGGCACGGGATACAAATGGATGGAAGCCGCCGAAAAGTTACAGCATCAGCAGCAGCAGCACCCGCAACAGCAGTCGTCGCATCAGTATGCGTCGCAAGGACAGATGTACACTACCAAGTCACTGCCGCGTGAAAGTAAGCGTAAAGAGCCGCTCGGTCAGGCTTACGAGTCGATACGCGAGAAAGATGGCGAAATGTTGCTCATCATTAATGAGTATGGTAGTCCGTTGGGTTTGACGGCCATACCGGACAACGAACATGGCGGCGGTTTGTTGGTGCAACACGTGGAACCGGGTAGTCGCGCTGAACGCGGACGCTTGCGTCGCGGCGATCGCATATTGGAAATCAATGGCACCAAATTGATCGGTCTAACCGAGGGTAAAGTGCAGGACTATTTACGACGCTCACTCGAAGCTTCCGAACTGCGTGTGCGCGTGTTGCGCGCCAGTGGTAGTAACGCTAACCAACGTAGCGTCAGCAAATCGCGGCGTCGTGACTCTAAGGTCGCCGAAATGATTGAAGCGGAAGAGAAATTGGCCTCAACCGTAGAAACGAAGGTGGCGACTGTCTCGCCCACACGTAAGCCACATACTGCGCCAGTGGGCACGTCTCTACAGGTCGCGAATACACGCAAGCTCGGCCGCAAGATCGAAATTGTGCTGAAGAAGGGTCCAAACGGTCTTGGCTTTTCCGTGACAACACGCGATAATCCAGCCGGTGGCCATTGTCCGATTTATATTAAGAATATACTGCCGCGTGGCGCTGCTATCGAAGATGGTCGTTTGAAGCCGGGCGATCGCTTGCTCGAGGTGGACGGCGTGCCAATGACGGGTAAAACCCAAACGGATGTGGTCTCCATTTTGCGCGCTACGCAACCCGGTGCTACGGTGCGTTTAGTAGTGTCGCGTCAGCAGGAATTGGCCGAACAGGATGAGCGGGAAATTGTAAGTATGCCGGAGAGGGTTAATCTAATTAGTCGAGGTTATAAAAAAATTACAAAAAAATTTATTCATTAGAGCAATTAATCGAAAGTTTGCTCTGTAAAATGATTACTAGGAAGTTTAATCAAAAAATTTGTTTAATCGAGAAATTAATTGACTAAATTATTAAAGTTTAATTGAAAGATTAATCGATTTAATTATTAATTGAAAGGTTAATCAACTAAATTATTAATCGAAATAAATTAATCAAAAGATTATTAAAAAAAAATATTAATAGAAGGAATAATCGACCAAATTGTTAAATTTCATTCGAAGGATTAATCTACTAAAGGATTAATCGAAATACTAATTGACTAAATTAATAATCAAAGGTCGACTAAATTATTAAAATTAAATCCAAAAATCAATCAATCGAAAGAAATTAATCAGAATATTAATAATAAAAAAAGGTTAACCGATTAAATTTTCAAATTTCAATCGAAAGATTAATAAGCTAAATGATTAATCGAAAAAATTAATAAAAATAATAATCAAAAGACTATTCGACTAAATGATTTAACTTTGATCGAAATATTAATCATCTAAATGACTAATCGAAAGGAATTAATTAGACGAAAATTAATAAAAAAAAAATATATTATTCGAAAGACTATTAGATTAAATTCTTAATTCTCAATCGAAAGAAATTAATCTAAAGATTAATAATAATATATTAATCCAAAGACTAATCGACTAAATGGACAAATTTCAATCGGACGATTAATCTGCCAAATGATTAACCGAAGAAATTATTCAGAAAACTAATAAAAAAATTATTAATCGAATGACTAAGCTCCAAGATAATTGTAATATTTTCCTACTAATTTATATTTTCAACATCCTTTCCAGAACTACGACGAGAAAGAGCGCGACGTAATGAATACACCACCAAAACCGCCAGCGCCAGTGCTACCTTCTTCTTTACAAAAGCAGCAGCAGCAGGATAAGCTGCCGAATGGCGTTAAGAAGTCCAACAGTGCACGGTCGCTCTTTGAGCAGCACCAACAGCAAGCACAGTATCAGCTGAACGAATCCCAGCACTTCATAGACGCAGGCAGCGAGTCGGCAGCCTCAAGCGTAAGTATAATCTTCAAGCTTTCGATGAATATTTTTTAACCTCTAAACCCTCGTTCCCACTCGAATAATGTAGGATAGCTTACAAGCGGGCATCGCATGGCGCTCACGCGAAGTACTCACACTACACATACCGGTGCACGATACAGAGAAGGCCGGTCTCGGTGTCAGCGTCAAAGGCAAGACAAGTTCAAATTCCAACAGCAGTAACAACTCAATGAAACACGACGGTGATTTGGGTATTTTCGTGAAAAATGTCATACATGGTGGCGCCGCATCACGTGACGGACGTCTACGCATGAACGATCAACTCTTGAGTGTTAATGGTGTCTCGCTGTTGGGTCAAAATAACGCGGAGGCAATGGAGACGTTGCGTCGTGCCATGGTCAACAATCCCGGTAAGCATCCGGGCATGATAACGCTATCGGTGGCACGCAAAATCGCACGTTCCGCCAGTTCGGGTGACATACTCGAGCAAACCAACAGCAGCTCGAATGCCAGCGATAATTCCGGCGCTACAGTGATCTATCTGAGTCCGGAGAAGAAGGAAGCACGGAGTGGAGCTGGTGGCTGCGCCACAAATGAAATGAACAGGTTACTGTGTGTGTCTCTCTTTTTCTAAGTCATTTATACAACATCAATCTTTCAGATGGAGCAATCCCGTATTAGATCGTCTAACCGGTGGAGTTTGCTCGTCGAATTCATCACAACAGGCGCGTCGGCCCTCACGCGATCACTTGAACGCTGGCGGTGGGGTTGCAGGTGGTATTGGTGGTGCGCCCGGTAGCGCCGGCGTACATAGCTTGCGCAATGAGAGCTATTACATGGCAACAAATGAAACGTGGTCACCAGCTTTGCATCATCAGAAGATGATGAATGGCCATGTCAATAACAACACAGTTTTAATTGAAGACGATCCAGAGCCAATGTCACCGTGAGTACTCTCATGTTACCTAGACCCTTCAAAATATATTTAAACATATATTTATGATTTTAATTCAGTACACTGCCCCACCATCCCAACGATTCAGTGTGCACTCAAAGCAGCAATGGTGGTCCAAATACAACCACAGCCGCACCGGGCTTCGATGCCACTTACTCATCGCAGTTGAGTCTCGAAACGAACAACTCCGGTGTGGAGCACTTTTCGCGCGACGCGCTTGGACGCCGTTCGATATCGGAGAAACATCACGCCGCCTTGGATGCACGCGAAACGGGCACCTACCAGCGCAATAAGAAGTTGCGCGAAGAACGCGAACGCGAGCGCCGCATACAACTAACCAAGTCTGCCATATATGGTGGCTCCATGGAGTCGCTAACAGCGCGTATTGCCAATGCGAATGCGCAAATACCCGGCTATAAGCACACGAAGACCGCTTCCGGCGTGGAGGCGCAACAATTGCAAGCGGAGGCGCGCGATCAAGTCGGTGATTTGGGTCCCTCGCTGGGCTTGAAGAAATCCTCATCGTTGGAGTCGCTGCAAACCATGGTGCAAGAGATACAAATGTCCGATGAGCCACGCGGTCCGACGGCATTGCGTGCGCCGCGTGGACGTGGACGTGAGGACAGCTTGCGCGCCGCTGTGGTGGCGGATCCCGAGGCGGGCAGTGAGTAGCACTGAAAATTTTCAAACTTTTTTCTTATTTCATATTATTTTCTCTAACTCTCATTATAGAGCCACGCAAGCACTGGCTGCTCGAAGAGGGCACCGATCAGGATGGCGGCTTTGCGCATCGCAACGGTCCCTTCCAGAGTTCGCTGAACGACGGCAAGCACAAGTCGCGCGCCAAGAAGCCGAGCATATTGCGCGGCATCGGTCATATGTTTCGTTTCGGCAAGAATCGCAAAGATGGCGTTGTACCGATAGATACGCAAGCCGCTGCGTTGGCTGAGCGCCCGCCGGCATCGCTGCCCAACAATCATCTGCCTGCCGCCGCCTTAGCCGCGCTCGATCGAAATACGAAGCTGGTGCCACCAGCCTACCAACCGCCGCCGCCCTTACCGCCTGCCAATAGCACCGGCAGCGGTGGCAGTGGCGCAAATGCTGGTGGTGGCATTGGTAACTTGTCGTCGAACTCGAATGGCATACACCACAATGATATTTTCAATCATCGCTATCAGCACTACGCCAACTACGACGAACTGCATCAGCAACAGATGAGGTGAGCGCGCGTTTGCTTCGCTGAAAATTGTATAAATTGTTTATTTAACTGATACACGCATACAATCATACACTCATAAACACATACATATACATGCATTTCTATATGCATTTATATATAAACGAAATTATATAAGCGTTCACTACGCTAACTGTATGTTGCGCTTTCATGAAACAAATATATTTTTCTTAATTTTTGTAATGAAAGTCGCTGCGGCATTTAGCAGAACTCGCATTTTACACACACACACATACACATTTACATTTTCACTCTCTTTAATGTCTGTTACATTTTCTCTTTTTCTCTTCCCATCACCAAACCAACCACCATTATCACTACTATTTTCCGTTCATTTTTAAATTTTTGAAATTATTCTGCAAATAAACCGTTATAATAATGCATTAAACAAACACGCCACACATGCGCATATGCAATTTTTAAATGAAAAAAAAATTAAACAAAACACACACACACTTGCCCAAATATATTGCACTATTTATGCACGAAAAAGCAGCGAAAGCGAAAACACGGCCACTAAACAAAATCAAAATAGTACAGATGTTTTATCGGAGTCGACATTAGAATGCATGCGGCAACAAGTTATCAGGCAGCGCATTAAAGTCGAGGCGGAAAGGTAACTACTAACTGCAACACAACATGCACACATACACACACATTTGAAACATGCATACATATCGCTCTTAAGTGTATGTATGTATATATGTACTTTGTAGCTGTATATGTGCTGTGGTTGCCACACTTAAGCATTTTTAAACCACACGCCTCTCAGCTTATTAACTTACTACCGGTTTTCTCGGTTCTCGCTTTGGTTCCTATTGCAGCTTTACCCCTAGATATGTGCGTTTGAAATCGGAAGATTGGATTTGCTTTGAATTGAAGTAATTGCCATATTGCTTTCTTAAACACTAATTTAGTTTTATTTGCTAGAACTATTATTTTTTAAGTATTCATTAATTTATTATATTTACATATTAACTGTATTAATTACTTATATATATTTTTTTTAAGTATTTACTATTTTTAAGTATTGACTATATTTTTTTCTGAGTATTTTCTTATTTATACGAGTATATATTTTTTAATTAGTTTAATTTTTTTTTTTTGGTATTTCTGTAACTGTATTTTATCCGCTGCATACTCTAGTGCTGTTAGGTGCCTAATTAATAACTTTAAAAACCAGCTTGCATTTAATTGGATATTAGTTTACTTATTGTAATGATTTTGTAAGCCACTATCTTTTTTTTTGTTTTTTTTTTTTTGTTTTTTGTAATGTCAGACATTTCGTAGTAAGAAAACTTTACATTCAACTCTTTCGGCATAAAAACTTCAAAAAAAAAAAAAAAAAATCACATAAGCGGTTACAGGAATTGGGGTTTTATACGGCCAAGGACTGTTTTTTCGTAGATCGGAATAGAAAATAAGGCCGTTTATGTTCGATTTTACTCAGCTCTATATACAATTTGCGTTACAAAGTAAACAGAAATTAGTTTTTTCGGCAAAATCAATTTATTTTATTCAAAATAGTCTCCTTCTGCTTCAGTACAGCTTTTTGCACTGTCCCAAAGCTTGTCGAACGAGTGTTTTAGCTCTTGAATGCCCTCTACGTCTGCATAACGCTTTCCTTTCATGGGCAAGCGCATTTTTCCGAAAAGGAAGAGGTCGCACGGTGCCATATTAAGTGAAAGCGGGGACTGGTTAATGATTAATGAAAATGAAATATGATTTTTGGTCAAATAATCGTCCTTCGAATGTTGGATTCTGAGCAATTTTCGGTCGTCAGGCAATTTGTGCGAAACAAATCGTGCACACACCTTTCGTAAGCCCAAATGTTGTAAAATGTGATAAATCGATGTTTTGGAGATTTTCAATTCCATTTCCATGAATTTCAATGATGATTTCGGCTGATTTTTAATGAATTCACGCACAGTTTCGATGGAATTTCCGGTGATCAAAGGATTTTGATTGGCCCACGTGTTGATCGTCATTAATGTCCTTACGACCACTTTGGGGATAGGCAATCATCGCCATAAACTTGTTTCATCAATCGAAACGTTTCGGTAAAAGTTTTACCAATTTCAAAACAAATGTTGGCTCTTTGTTCGAAGCTCGTTTCCGCACCGATAACACAAACAGACTGACACTTAAAACGCAATAACTTCATTTCCAATCAATGAAATGTCATGAAATTGTCACTTAAGAATCGATAAAGATAGCAAATTCTAACGCACCGGTCGACATATAGATGGCGCCAACAGGGGGCATCTAGATTCAAAAATTCCTGTTTTCTTTGGAAAGCACCTTGTATTACAGTCGGTGAAATGCCACCATTCAACCCGCTTAAAGACCTAAGCCGTTCAGTCAAAGCACCAAAATATTTATAATAAGCCTGTAAAAATAAAATAAACTGCTGCAGTTCGTATTTAAAAACTTTTTTTACATTATCTTTAGTACCTATTTCAATTACGATTTTCAAACTTTTTAAACAAAATGAATTAATTTGCTATGATTATTTTATCTTTTGTAAATTTTTGGTAGTTTTATTTACTTAACATCTATTTTACCCCTTTTATCTTTTATATTATAAAATTTCGCTTGATTGGTTACTTGCATTCTAATGTCCGCAGAAACAAAATTTTTATAATTAAATTATTTTAATTTTTATTATATTATTTATTATGACACACACACATTCATATGTACGTACTTTTCTTCATAACACACATTTTGCATGCGCCCACTTTCTTCGCTTCACATGCTTGCCTTCACCTTGCTGTGCTTTAAGTTCCATTTTCATTTCCTTAGATGTTACTCGCCTTGCTATACTATCAAGACATACTTAGATTTATATATTTTTCCACACACACCACATCAACATTACTCATGCCATTTTTCCCTTCTGTAAACGTTTTCTCTTGCATATACTCACATCCGCGAACTTGCTTCGTCATGCCCTACGCTTTGCCGCTCTACATTTTCGATGGGTGTTTGTGCGGTCTGTGCAGTCGCCGTCATCAGCATTATCATTCGCAACGCAGCGCCCGCTCACAGGACATCAACTTACAGCATCATCATCATCACGCTGCCATGTTAAGCAACAGCGGCAGCGCTGCCGACAAGAGCAGTCTGCTGCGACCCACATCCACATACTATGAGTACGAGACGGTGCAGCACAGTGTAAGTCCAGCTGCGGCGGCGGCGCAACATCATCAGCTGCGCAATGGTAGTCTCAAGCAAAACGGACATCACTCACCGATAACGGTGAATGGCGTGCAGCAGCAGCAGCAGCAGCCACACAACAACACCAATCATCATCAACAACAGCAGCAACAACAACAAGCACAACAGCAAACAGTTGGACCACCACCACAAGCGCAACCACACTGGAAAGTAGCCGGCATGAATGGCTTCTCGCCCGCCTCACTCAACAGCAGCGCGCGCAGTCGCGGTCCCTTCGTCACACACGTGACCATACGCGATCAGAGTTCAGCAGCCATCGCAGCACAACAACCCACATACCAAACGGTACAGAAGCAGCAGCCGCAATTCGCGAGCGCAGTCGTTAGCGGTGGCGCACAGCCGCACGCATCGAAAGTGTGACTATAGGTGCCGGTGCTGCGCCCACGGCGTGGCGTAGAACAAGCAAACCGCGCGGCAGTTGCTGATACATCGCTGGCGCGCGATGTGTGTGATGTTGGTGGTGGTGGCAGAAATGATGATGGCAGCAGCGCTGGTGGCGACAATGACTACGAGGATGTGGACTCGGATGTGGTGGAGATATTCTACCTCGCCACCGAGTGTTAAAGCGCATGTCGCCGTCAGCAGTTTTCTAAGTCAACAGCAATACAAAAGCGTACGTGGAACAAAAAAATTGGCTGAGCGAAAAAAGAAAATTTGTAAATAAATAAATTATGTTCAATGTGGCACACAGGAATTGGTATGAAATCCTTAAATCATGAGACTGCAACAAAACAAACAACAACAACAAATTATCAAGTGCTGGCATACAATTACAAAATGTGGAATTTGTAATCATAAATATTTAAGTAATTAAAGTTAAATTTATATATAAAAGAATTGTGTGAGCGCTAACGGTAGTTGCAGCTATTCTGCGAAATTTACAATTATATATACACTAACATACATTCCGTTGCAGCATTCGCATAGTTTGCAGCTTGAACAGTATTGTTTTTAATTTAAAAAATATTTATATGCAGCAATGCTGTCTGCATAGCGTTAAAATAAATCGAATATATTGTAAATTTATTACAGCAAATAACGAAACGAAAAAAATACATAAATATACGAAGTAGATTTAATAAGCCAACTGCTCAAAGTGAGGTTAGGCGCGAACTAAACCCTAAAATTAAGTAAAAAAAAAAAAAGAAAAATATGCAAACAAGCGCGTAGATATGTAGTTCTACATGTATTTACGCCAGAAAGCGATATAATTTTCTTTAAAAAATATGTGGAATATTATATTTTATTTTCTGCGTCTAATATATAATGCGTAGATACCAAAATGCAGCAAATTAAAGCTACAGCATAACAGAAAATGCTTATACGTAAATATAGTATGCATTAATTATTGTATTTTTGTTTAATTTATGATTATTGTAACAACAATTTAAAATAAATTGCGCGCGCATACTTATTTTCTTATCAATAACTATTCGTTAGCTATTTCTTTGTGCATATTTAACATTAACGGCAAGCATATGTTGTTATTTTGTGTTATAACGTGGCAATTAAGACTTTTGAAAACAAATTTTTGTTATAAATTAATTTTCGAAAATTAAGCACATAACCTAAAAGTCAGAAATACATGCTAGCGCCCATATGAGTGACGTTACAATTCTAAAAAAACACTTTTGAAACAAAAATTTCCTTATGTACATATATTAATTTTCGAAAATTAAGCACACCACAACCTAAAAGTGAAAACTCTACGCTAGCGCGCATATGAGTGACGTCAAAGTTCTAAAAATGCAAATTTGGTTATTTTTAATGAAAACATACGTTAATAGTTGACATATAAAAATATATATAGTTTTTTTAAAATTATATATTGTCATATAAATTTATATTTGGAAATATTATTGCGTAGCTTGTTGCAAAGTCATTGCCGTAGCTAATTTATGTACATATATATGTATATTGAATTATGCAGCAAGCTCTATTATTACAAATTTCTTGTAGTTTCCGTCTACTTTTTGACTGCCTCTCTGCATAAACCAAGTTTGTAAGAATTTGAAAACTTCGAATTTTGTTACTACTAACTATAAGTTTTCATGATATTTAAATATTCTGAAGCGCTCTTAAAAACATGTAAGATGGATTGAAGGAACACAAAAATATTTTGTTTCTCAGTGTTTTACACTAAAAAGTTACTTCTTTCAAAATTTTTGACACAGCAAGATCGTCCATTCAACAAATTAAACGAAATAATACCAAAATATAAATTCTTGCTTATTATATGCTGGTTAGTATAAACAAAAAACAAAATTGCGAAAAAATTAGTCGAATTATGTCTGAATGTTGACTTTCAACAATAAACAATAACAAACAAATTTCCACTCGTACGCTATTTCATCTGCCACAGTGGACGTAAAATCAAATTGGCTTCAACGTAGCCACCTGTGTCTATAAAAAGGCTTAAAACTTATTTTCTACTTAAGAGTTTTTCTAATTTAAAATTAATAGCGTGCAGTTTCATTCCAAAAATATTTTACAACTATTACTAAATACCAACTACTAACTGTTTTTGTACTTAAGCAACGCAAACAAGGCATTCGAAATTATTTACAGTGCAGAATAATTAAATTTATGTACAAAAAATACATTTTTACAATGTTTTTGATATAAAAAATAAAATATAAGAAATTAAAAATATTTAAAATAAAATAAAAAGGCAAATCATAGACAAAAATAAACAAAAACAACTACATACAGCAGAGCTTAGCGAGTAAAAATAGTTCACGAAAAAGAAAAATTTGTACAAAAACTAAAATGTAAATACGAATTTGCATTAAAAACTAAATAAATGAAAATTTTAAGTTCAACCATTGAATTTAATTAAGAAAATTTGTCTATAGCTTTATATGTTTGTTTGTAAACATGATTTTTTTTTGGTAAAAAATTTTTGTAAATAACAAGAAACATTGTATAAATGCTTATACATAGAAAAAAATTTTTTTTTTCAACCAATTTCCGGCACGCCTTAACGCCATGAAGCCATCTTTAACCTAACCTAACTTTTAAGTCACACATTTAACGCCGCCGCAACGCTCTAGCACACCAACCAAACGCACTCATTATTCATTTACATATATGTGTATGTATTTGTCATTTAACATTTTTGTTTGTGTAAAACATATGTATTCCTGTATATGTGTGTAAACCTTTTGTAAATAATATTTGTAATATTTATAATTTAATTTATATAAGTGAAAGCATAAGATATTTCTGACATTTATAATATAAGCGCGTACATAACTGTTAAAATATATGTCTATATATGTTTAATTACATTTAATACAATTAATGTCATTAATTTTTTGTTTAGCGTGGTTTGAAAGTATTTGTGAAAGTACTTAATTTTGTAGGCACTGCGCGATTTTTTGTTTGTGTTATTATTGTTTGTTTGGTATAATATATTAATTTAGTTCTTTTACTAATTTTTGTTTATTATACTAATATTTTATTATTATTTTTAATTAATTTTTGTTCATTATTATTAATTATTATTTTATTTTTATAATAATTATTAACTATTATATTAAAATTATTTTTTTATTTTTTCCTAGTTCTCTCATTCCATTTTTTGTTTCTTGCATTGTCTTCATTTATATATATTTGTTTAGTTTGTGTTCGATTTAGCTTTGAAATTAGCTTCAAAAAATATTAGTTTTATATACAAACTTACATATAAACATGTACTTAACTATAGATATTACTAAGTGACTAATATTGCTCAGTATAAATTTCGTAGTTTTGTAAGTTAATATTGTCATTTGAAAAACCGTTTAAGTGTAAGTTAATTACCAGTAATAAACAATTTAAAACGATACAATAAAATTATGTCCAAATTAATAATAAAGAAAAAATATTAAAATATATGTAATTTGTGTTTTTGTGATTTGTTATGGTGTATGTGTAACTAAACTAATTGCATGTGACTTACAATAGATTTATGCTTAAATTTCAGCCAAAAAATGAAGAAAATATATTTCATATTTCTTTACAAATAAGAAACACGCTGGCAACGCGCAATGAAATATATTTTATTTTTGACTTTTAAAGTTAAAAACACATTAAAATGCAGGCGATGACAGAAATTATCTTAAGGAGGGCTACACTCCTTATTGTTTTTGTTGTTGTAAACATAAAACAGACTAAACATATCTTTGATGAACTCCGCTGCCATGCTGAGTGCGCTTGGCTCTATATAAAGACGTTTCGGTGCCGGTAATTCCAACTTAAAGCTCGGGGTATGGTGAACATAACACTCATTACTGTTCTCCGGCGTGAATCATAGTAAACATAACTCTAGAGGATACTGCTGAAGAAAGGGCGTTTGATTTGTCAAAAATCGGCCTGGCTTTACCTTTGGGAGGCCAGCAAAAATTTTTATATTTGTCTCATAACGAATTTACACCAATTTTATAAAAATATCTATACGAAAATTAAAAAAAAATATTAATAATTAAATTAAATAATAATAATTAATAAATTATGAAAAATAACCTCAACATTGGTGTTTTTTATTCACTTTGGCATTTCGGTACACCAAACTTGGCTACAACACACGTAAGTAATCGATAACTTTTATTTATTTTTCACTTAACAATTTTCTTTGGTTATAATAAAATAATAAATAAAAGTTGTTAAAAAATATATAGCGTTTTCAAAATTACACCACATTATCATTTCCAACGATTGCCGCCACCGCCTCTGCCTTTCGTGCTCGGCTGTGCAGATTGTGCTTGTTCTTCTTGTGCTGCCAGCTCCTCATCGAGTAGCAAATCGAAATTGCCCAAAGCATCGGAGCTAGGTATTTTATTCCAACGCACGCTAAAGCAAATAAGAAATGAAAGCTTTATTACAAAAAAACAAAAGAAAAACAAATATGACTTTGAAAAAGTTTAAACTAATAAATACAACTCACAACAAAATATAGCAAATAAATATGTATTCAAATTCAAATTCAAACAAAGCACTGCATTAACTTTATCCGGTTTCACAACATATTCAAGCAGCAAACCACGCGGTTGGCACCTTTGCTAAACAGATGTTGACACAAACACACACACAAAATTTCCGCTACTTTGACAGTCCGCCATTACACATTACAGTTTACCGTTGGAATTGTGCAAAAATCGTAGCGTCATTTCGTGCTCCGCGTGAAAAGTGTAAAAATGGTGTAAAATTAACCAATTTTCTTGCACTTACTCTGGTACACCGTCCGGCGGTAACACTACAGACAATATATTATCGATTAGTTTATATTTTAGTATGCGATCAGTGACTGTTGTTGAGGTAAGCGACGGTGATGCATTCACTTCTACTAACCAAGGCTTCAGATTGTTGTCGATTATTATATCGTAGCCGTAACACTCAAAACAATGACGATCGCTGGCCATCACCGGCGCTACAGCGCGTAAGGAATGAACAATTAGCCAAGCAATTGAACCGAAGAGACGATCCGTCACCTCCTTGCCACGTGTGCCCTCTAAGTACAGCGCTAAATTCTGCACAGACCACTTGCCACCGTGCAGATTATTGTATTCGCCCTTTAGACGGAAGGTGGAAAAGGAAATGAAATAAAGTATGTATGTAAAAGGAAATCGGTAAAGTGAGGTTACAATTGTTACTTGACTCATATTATTGCAGACTTCCTACTTACGCCATGCTTTTGCACGCTCACGTTCGTTAGATGCACATACATATTGTCCAACTCGGTAACGCTTGTGTCATATTTGACTGTGCAGAAGCGACAAAATCCCTGCTTGAATAGATAAGCTTTTAGTGGGCGAAACGAGGTGACCAACACGTAAAGCCGTAAGTCGAATTTCTTGCCGCCAATTAGCAGTGGATTGTCAATATATCTAATGTTTGAAAACAATGGCGTTAAAAAATTATTGCATAAAATTAAAGCGTATGGCAATTACTTGGAGATGACATAACTCTCTTTGGATAATTGTTGGTGGAAAGGCCCCTTAGCTTCGCGTGACCAGCGCTTCAATTTTGACAACTTGTTGATGAGAAAAATGCCAGCGCCTTGTGATTTGCCGCAAGGTTTCATGATCCAAGTGCTTTGTGGGTTTTTGCGATACTCCTCAACAAACATATTGTAATCTAAAAATGCGTTTTATTAATGTTGAAC